CGCTACCCCAAGAGAAAAACCAACTCCGGAAGGCGCCTGGATGCATCGCTGTCCTTTATTCCTTCCCTTTAGTTCAAATCGAACAAATATTTGTAATTCACTACCGAGTGGCTCCAGCCAACCGCTTCCCTCGGCTGAAGCAAGGGGCCATCTGCGCGCCACACGCACGGCCTTTGAAGAAACACACCGGTGTAAGAAAAGAATCGGACAATGATATAAAACTGGATTCATGTTTACACAAGTCTGACATTTCAACCCAGTTCTGGGTTTCTACGTGACCGGGTGGAAGGTGGGACGATGCGGGCGACGGTCACAACTCAGGATTGCAGAAAAAGCACAGATTTAGTTGGGAATTTATAATCAAAGGCAGCAAAACCCGTACTCGGATCAAAACATTTTATCTAAGGTTCAAACTAAAACAATTCTTCAATTACCGGCTGTGAGGTAACTTGGACAAGTCAGTATTACCCCTGTGATTCTTGTCAAAGAAAGCAGTACAGCTGGTAGCTTTACTTTATTTACCGAGCGTGAACATTTTAAGATTAAGTAACAAATACAGAAACAGTGCAAACTCGTGTTTTCAGGAGAAACAGCACTTGTATCCAAACAACAATTTGGAAGCATTCCGCTGACTGCTACACTTTGTACATTGGGTAAAATGCTAAATAAATAGCATGGTCTCATGGGGGCGAGAGCGCCAGGCGGTATCGCTGCCTGCAGAAACTCCGCTGCTCCGCTCTCCCGCGGTGGCCTCGACAGCACTCGGTGACAGAACTGTCCCACTTCATCAGATGAAAATAATCTGAACACCCTCTTGTATCGGGCGGTGTAGAACAGCATTTATGCTGTGAAACTACACTGAGAACACCCAGAAGACAATGAAAGAAAACAACTTTACAGAAAATGAAGAACCGTTGACAATCGACGCCGGCGTCCGTAACAAAGACGAAACGTAGAGTTGGCATTTTGGGATAAGGAGCGTTGGCTGTTGTGACGGGCAGCGGGCTGACCGCACTGGAGGTCGCAGGGCTGGGGCGTTCGATCCGCAGCCGCTTCCTCGTGGGGCCGCAGTAGCGGCGGGTCCGCAATCCCATTTTACGCAGCTTGTCCGACCTTAAACTTTGTCTTGCACGCGCTCTTTCCGGGCACTGGAATTGCAGAATCGAATTTCGGAGCACCGCTATTTGCCTCTTAAGGAAGCCTTAGGAAACAACAACAAATGACACTCGCGAGCGCAGGCGACGATGACTTTCCTGCATGGCAAGTCCCGGTAACGACACGGCCGGGGAGAGCCGATCTCCGATCTCCGCTCTCCTCCCCGCGCCCTGCTGCACCCACCCTCTCCCCTGGCCCCCGTCTCACTTCACAACCATCCTGCTCAGGAATTTAAACCAGGACACACCCTACAGACTCTCAAGGAAGAGGCCGGGCTGCTTCTTGTCTTTTTAAAAAGTTATTTCTTTTATGTTAAAGATGTTGAAGTCTACAACAATTCTAATCTTTCAAAGAAATGAATTATTTCGCTTTAACATAGGGTTGGGAGAAAAGAAGTAGCAAGACCAAAAGTTTACTGGTTCATTTCGGCAACCTGGTAATCAGCTGGTAGAGCAGTAACGTTTCTGAGTTGTTTTACAAAATAGCAACATAGATTTAAAAAAAAAGAAAACAAACAAACCCTAATCCATCAGTTGTTTCACCAGTTTGAAAGAGGAGACAGTTATTTCATTTAGGTCACATTTCATACATATTACTACTGATTTGGAGTTCATGTTTAATTTTGACGTTGTCAAGATCATCTAACAGCCTGATAAGCAATCCTCAACCCATCTTTATTAAAATAAACAAGTTTCACTGGCACCTTCAGAAAGCGTGAAACAAAATTGCAAAGCAAAAGCCAACTCTAACACACCTATGAATTTAATTTCCCATATTCTGCACTTGAGAAGTTTTTCCTCAAAGTCAGAAAAGTTAGGGAAAAAAAAAAATCTCCAGGTACGGACAAGATGCGATTAAATTAAGCGGCGCACGGTTCCAGCACAGACACAGCACCGAAGCGCCTCGTACGCAGTTAATCCAGCGGAGATGATCCGCCTGGGACCAAGAGATGCCTCCACCTTTGACTACAGATCTCCGATAGATTCTGTTATTCTTTGTGCTTACGCAGAGGCGAAATTGGAAGACTTTCAGCCTGGGCAGTAAAACCAATGTGCTTTTATTTAGCTTCACAGATTTTGCTGGACTTGAAGGAAATTGTGAGAACGCGCCGCTGCCGGACCGCCGAGCGCAGCCGGGGGAGGTCTGCGGCGCAGCGTTTGCCCTTCCGCCGCTGACCGTCAAGGGCGGCACTCGGAGAGGGGAAGAGACGGAGGAGCGGGCTTCGGAGCCCAAGGAAGCCCTCGGTCACACTGTCCTCTCCTGGACACCTCCGCGCTCCGCACGTCACGTAGACGCTTTGTGCGCACCCGTGTCCCCTCCAGCCAGTCGAAAGTTGGTATTGATTTACTTTTTTCCTGCAACATGCAGTAACAAAAGATCCGCGACCCCTTCCAGGAGTTTGGAACGCAAAGCTCGGGATGCAATACTTCCAACATTGACAAGGCAAGAAACACAGAACGGAAATCGGGTACCTTTCAAAGGTATTTTAAATAGTTTTCTTTTTTAATAATGATGTACCATATACATCCGACAACGCCCACGTGCCCTCTCTCTAGGCGTACAGCACACTTGCTGTACATCACTAAGGCACTCAGGAGGGAAGTCATTTTTGACAAATGCAACGGGAACGTTTCCACTACACGGCATCAGTCAAACTTCTGTAGCAGCTCTACCACAGGATTTAGCCTCTTTGATTTATGTGACAGCAAGTCGCACACCGGCTCGCTGGGAATTTGGCAAGTTTGTCATCACCAAATCACTTTCCAAGGCACTGGTCATCTTTTCTTACCCCTAGCTGGGAACAGTCACATTTTTTCCCACTGATTTTGAAATCAAATGTTGGAATTTTAGCGACATAGAGGAACCGACACTATGAATTCACTCCCTCAGAATAACAACCGCCTTCCGAAGGCCTGCACGCCCTCTCCTGAAACCTGTCTGTGCGTGCTAGCTGCTGCGCTGTCCAGTTTAAGTCTTCAGGACTCAAGGCTGAGAGTATTGTGCGTTACTCTTAAGTCCTACTTTACAGCAATTTTTTTGTCAAGAAAGTACCTTGAATGTAAATCAAAATGCTGTGAAACAGCGGAAATAAATTAAACAATGTAATCTGTTTATAAAAATATTTTCTTATAAATCTTTAAAGCTTATAAAAGCCAGAAAATACATTTAAAAGAATCTCTGAAATATTTCGTCCTTTGAGGTGTGGTTACAGTTCAGAAAGTGAGAAGAAACAAAGCCCACGGACATTTTACATTTCTCTTCCCACAAGGAATTCCATAGTACAACATGCTCAACCTACAAGTCAAAATGCCTCTGACATCCTTCCTCGGGTCAACTCCCCGTGTCAGATCATTTCTGCTTGAAAATAAAAGCGTTGGAACTTAGCTGACCATGCTGCTGTTTAGATAGATGTGGCACAATTAACTTTTCCAGAGTTACTATATGGAAACTCAGACGCTGGTTATACCAGCAGCCACGGCTCTGAAGCTAGAGCTCGGGGATATATATGTAGTACATAGGTGCCATTTTTCAGACAATGACTTTCTGAACTTACATTTTCATATTGGGAGGGCAAGTGGTACCACATACAAACATACCACCATCTCAGCCGCCCGTTTTTTCAGCCACATGGCATTTAAAAATACCTATATTCCTGTTTATCGATTATGGGATATGTCTTTGTAATAAAAGGAAAATGACCTTGCTAGTCCATCCAATATTTAAACCGCATCAATTGGTCCTCTTGCACTTCCACGAAGACTGTCCTTCGTCCTGCAGCTTTTTAAGTTTTGGCCCGAGCAAGAACCACCAGCCAAATCCCAGAATGACGCAGATGACGGATTCCACGTAGTAACCATCCAAGGTAGTAACACAAGAACCACCGGCTTTTGTGCAGAGCTGAAACAGAGAAGCAGAAGTCGATGCGTTAAGAACTCTCTTACGGATACAGAAACACAGACTTTTAGAAAGCAGGCATTAGGTACCCACTGGTTTTTACTTGCTCTTGGTTATGACTAAATATATTTCTTTACTCTTCCTTGTTTCTCACGGAGTTACTAAGAGAGGCTTTTGAGCTTACTATCGGTATGAAAAGTAACCAAACCAAACATTTGGGAAATGGAGCGTACTGGCCCAAAGGGCTAACTCTAGAACACAGAAACTGCCCAGCTGTCTCATGCTGGCCTGGAGGTGCAATCGCTGTTCTCAATCCCATGAAGAAAGATTATTAATTTTTTTTCCCCTAGCCATCCAAACTGCTTCTTTAGAAATTATATCCTTGCATTTCACCACACTGAACCTGCAAATGGACAGTACAGAATGCTGCATATTTCTGGGAAAAACATGCCCAGGATGGGGTTGGTTTGGGTTTTTTTTTTTTTTTTTGATTGCAGAACTGGAAGACACAAGCTCCAGCATTTAAAGGGTAAGTGTACAGCACACGATCGCTTCTGCTATTGTTCAGCTTTCAATAGTGCTATAATCCCAAGATAAAGCAATCCTCTGAGTTGAGGTTCTGGCAGCATTTTCATTATTCCGAGACATGTCAGGATCAGATTAGGAATAAGGAGGGAGTGGTGGTGGTGGGGGAACATTACCAATGTGACAAAAGATCAGAGAGGTGAAGGAGGAAGAACTTAAGTTCAACAGAGGCCCAGGCACAGGGAACCCAATTAGTGGCAAGCCCATGAGAGACAGGCTGAAAAAGCAGACGATGCAGAAGCAGCTTTTCCCCTCTGCAACCAGTAAAAACTGCAACTCCATTTCAAAGAAGTCATGTTTGCCTCCTGGAACACTTTGTTTATTTAGAGAACCTTCACATCCCAAAGAGTCCTGGCATTCAAGAGTGAAATCAGTCTCAGTCACAAGTACAGAAAAAAAATCAACACCAAAACAACAAAACCCCCCCAAACATTTCCACCCTTCCAAACAGTTGCGTTAAAATTTCTCATTTGCTCATGAGGAGGTGAATTCGAAACCTTGCTTTCCAGGCAGTTTTGCGTCCTGTTGTTTGATCCGTGTGCAGCAGCACAGCGTGTTCTTTGTTCTCTTCCATGGGGCTCCCCAGAACTGGGAAAGCAGCCAGTCTCACCACTCAATTTCACGTGGAAAGCGAAGATCAAAGACAGAGAGCAAAGTAACATCACGGGAGAAGGCATCGAGGTATCCAGATAGGAAGCCTCCAGAAAGACAGAAGGAGCAAAAAGCTACCACAAAACTTAAGGGACTCGGGGGACAGGCAGCCTGCCACGAGCAGAGCGGCTAATTACACAGCTCTGAGCTTAGCAAGGTTTACCCTCAAAAATGTAACTACAGCCTCCTTTCGCGGCAGAGAAGGTGGCACCAATCCAGCGCTTCTACCACCAGCTTTTCATCCCAGCCCAGAAGGAAACAGACAACTACTCTGCAACTGCACATCTTTGGTAAAGATCTTAGTTATTAAGAGCCTGCAGATAAAAACAGACTTAATTTTATCAGTGTCCTGGTTTCGGCTGGAATAGAGTTAATTTTCTTCCTAGTAGCGGGCACAGCGCTGTGGTTTGGATTTAGGATGAGAATAACGCTGATCACACACTGATGGTTTAGGTGTTGCTCAGCGCTGCTTATGCCAGGCAAGGACTTTGCAGCTTCCCCTGCTCTGCCAGGGGCACAAGAAGCTGGGAGGGGGCACAGCCAGGAGAGTTGATCCCAACTGCCCCAAGGGCCATTCCATACCATACGGCGTCATGGGCAGTATAGAAACTGGGGGGGTTGGCCGGGGAGCAGTGATCGCTGCTGGGAACTGGCTGGGCATCGGTCGGCGGGTGGTGAGCAATTGCATTGGGCAGCACTTGGTTTGTCTATTATTATCATTATTATACTGTTACTATTATCATTACCATTTTACTTTATTTCAACTATTAAACTGTTCTTATCTCAGCCCAGGAGTGTTTCTCACCCTCACTCCTCTGATTCTCTCCCCCATCCCATCGGGGCAGGGCAGTGAGCGATGGCTGCGTGGTGCTGAGCTCCTGCCTGGGGCTGAGCCCCGACAATCAGACAGGAAAATTAGCTCAAGCAGTGGGAATTTTTAAGCATAAGCTATGCACTACGAAGGTTTTCAAAGGTGCAAAAATACTAAGAGAAGCAATTGCATCGAGAAATAGTTGAACAGAGACCTTCACAGCCTCCAAAACTTACTTCTGCAGCAACCGGAGTTCCGCAGGTCTGCTCCTGGGCCCCTGCACACTCTTAAACACCGTGAGCGGGTCCACAAGCCAGAGCGCAACGGTGGAAGGCCAGTTCCCTCCCAGATTCGACACGGTATTGAGGAGCGTCATGTAGGTTCCTCCAATCAGCGGATCGCTGACTTTGGCGTTGAAAGCCATTATTGCAACGTACATGCTATACAGCGTGATCTACGGAAGCGGTAAGAAAACCCACAGGACGGTAAGGTCTCCCCAGTTACAGACAACGACAACTAAAAACCTGAATGTAAAAACCATTCTAAGAGGTTACTTGAAGTTAGCAACATTGAAAAATAATTCCAACAGGTTAAAATTGCGCAAGAGAGAAATGACTTCTGCAGTCTGTCTCTCTACTGATACCAAGAAGTAGCCTTGCCACTTGTCTCAGGTCATGCTGAAACGGACCCAGCCTCACATGCGTTGGAATGACTCAGGTTATCAAACTGAAGTACGACAAGGCCAGCTAAAACAGTGTATAAAATAACACTTTTGCATTTGAAATCAACTCTCAAGGCATTGCATACATTTCCATTCTGATCCAAAGCCCAGTTTGTATCAGGCATTTATTTTCCAGGCCTTTGGATCAGATCCATTATGACGTTCCTCGAAAATTAATAAAGGAGTTTTTTCTAGGACCAGGATCACACAACTTTATGGATGTGCACAGTAAGCACAATCATCATCACCCCTATGAAACTCAGTCAGAATGCTGGGATTTCTTCAACTCCACCATGCTTTTGAGCTTCTGGGTTTTTTGGGGGGGGAACAACTGGGAAACAAAAGCAGATCTCGTCAACTAAAAGTAACTTCATAGGAGATGTTCAATGGAGCAGATGGAAGAGGAAGAAATAATACTGGCAAGAGAATCAAAAGTAAATATAGCCATACAGCACAACAGGTCAGACTTTGAGGAATTCTAGCATAACTAGGGACAAAAGCAGATAATGGCATTTATAGTCCTCTCGTTGATTGATATGAAACAACCTCCTGTCCCCCCCCGCTTCTCACATACAGCGCGTGTTACCTGATGTAAAGCGTAACTCAACAATACTACAACATAGTAGTAGAGAGGAAATCCTCCTTCGTGTTTTACTTGAGGAGTCCACCATACCAAAAAAGCAAATTCCAGACCAAGCAGTAATCTGGAGGAATAAGAAAGATAATTTGTAATTCAAGAAATTCTCCCCATGTGTTCCCTTGATACAAAGCAACTATCGAACATTTATACGTACAGAATATATTAAAATAGTTTGTATCTAAATAGTTAAAACTATTCCTATCTTAGATAGAATTAGGTATTAAGTATTTGACAAGCACTGAAACTGTAAACATTTCATACCTAAACAATTCTGTCTTCCATATAAATGTAATTCACTACCAGATCTCCTATGCTAGCTTTGCCCTGTGGCCCTTCACACAGAAATGTATTTTTGTAGAAAGCAACGCACAAGATACCCAACCAAATTCAGCTGGAGCAAGAGCTATGCTTTTCTTTTTTGGTTTGGTTTTTTTTTTTGGCAAAAACATACATAGTTGAAGTAATGGCTACCTGTTACAGACGTGTTACATAATTCACTGAGTAACAGCACCAAGTGATTTGCTGGATTCACTGGTTTTAGAATTCCATAAGCAAACTCCTATACAAAACACTTTACTCGGAAATGAAATGTGTCCTTGTCTGCACCAAAATAATTCAGCTTTTGTACTCTCGGTTACCTCAGAAAAGCGTACATCCAGTGATGCACCAAATGACTTGTCGATGTGTGCTGCCACTCTTACATTGGGAAGCACACATCATTTTACAGATACAGTCCCGGATCCAGCATGATTCGTGAATAAGGAACTATCGGCGCTGGAGCAGGAGAGTACTATGCTAATGCTGTTGCATATGCCTCTCGAAAACACCTCACGTTCCGCTTTCTTACGTGTGTTACTGCATGAATCGTCTTCAAGGCACAAGACACAGAGACTTCAACATACTACGAGACTCTGACCTACTTCCTTGTATCTGGAAGTTTGAGAGTTACACAAGAAATGCTACACTTGATCTGGACACGCACATTACTACATTTCTGTCAAACACGAGCTATTTGTTTTTACCTAAAAGGCATAGCTTTGTAAAATGTGTTCAGTGGCTGGGGGCCCGCTGTGTATTTGCTGATAATCAGAGGCAATATTATCTGCAAAGGAACCATTGGAACGGCTAGCAGAGCTAAGTGCTCTTTCGGGACGCCCTCTTCCACCAGTTTGAGTCCTGTTACAGCATCTGCTGCTGAAAATCCAACCTGCAATATAAGTTAGACAAAATAATCTGGGGAAAGCAGTGACAGTTTGGCTAGAAATTCAGCTTACTCAGTATTAAGTAACTTGAGAAACGTGATAGAGTACAATTTGCTTGTGTCTCATTTGATTTCCTAATCTGTTCTGAAACATATTCTACACTCGCACACTCTTCCTGTCATCAGTGCCACAACTATACCAAGAACATTAAACGTAGCGAGGATATTCATGCACATGCCTGAATTGCTGTCGGTATCCACGATGGCCAACAAGAAGCCACGGAAACCTGGTTTGTACAGAGTTGTAGATTCTGGGAATAGCATTTAGGTTAAAAGAAACATCTTCTGTACTTTTAACTGCAGACTACACAAACAGCCTAACTGTTTAAAAATGTTTAAAAACAAATTACTTCAATACTAGATTGCAATCAAACTTCTCTCTAATGCTTGTGTATTTGCATACTTACAAAAACTCAAATAAATGTTTTCTGTCGTACAACCTTACTTAGCATGACGACGTAAGCAATTCTGTTTCAAATTTCACATGAAAATTTGGAACTCTGGTAACAACCGCTAGCAAAACTAAGACATAAGTTACACCACAGGGACTCGGCAACCTTTCAGACACTCGTATCATCAGCATCTAACAGTTCATACATGTATTTACTTACTTTTGCTGTGAGAATCAAGAGACAGAAAGTAAGAACTGCCGGCATCTTGATTATTGAGAATAGCAGCCTGTACGTATCAGTGATGCCTTTCGTTTCTTCTTTTGTTGGTGTTAGTTCCTTGTTTTCCTTTTTCAAAAGTGCAACCAGCGTAGTGGTAATTAAAAAGACAGCTCCCCAGAAAAACAGGAAGTCTGGAGGGAAAAATATTTAAAATTAAAAAAAAAAAAAATCTTTCTGGCACCCACCATCAACACTTCATTAATGATTCACTGAGTATCTAAAAATGCAGTTATTTTGCAACAATATAATCCTGATAATCAAAAATTGAACGAAAACATCACTCCTTGAGCCTCCTAAAAACAAGCGACGTGTCTGAGGTTTGCTTTTGTCGCTACATACAGTAGCTGACACAGCTCTTCCCTGCCGCTCACTCTACGACCACGTTTGCTTGAGATCTGAGACAGAGGAGCAGCAGCAACCCGGGCCACGGCCCTGGTGTTCTGTGTCCTATTACCACAGTGAGCACATCGGAGGAGAAACAGAAATAAAAATGAAAATGTTGAAGGATTACACATACAATCACCAAAAGCCAATCAAGGAGGAAAACACACATTTAATAGTTACAAGACGGGGAAAAAACTTCAGAGGAAGAAGTCGTTCACAACTCTCCAGTTGATTTACCGAGTAGTCATGTAACTATTCTGTGCCTCGATTCTACGCTCCCTGTATCATACTACCTACCATCTGAAGGAAACAAAGATTTATACTTACAAGTGTAAAGATGTCCTGATGGAAGTTCTTATACAGTCATCAAGTAAAGAGTCACTCAAATATGTCTGGTTTAAGTGGCTGTTACACTTGCTAAGTCTTAAGTGCCCTATTTTAAGCAGATAGAATCATAGAACCATGGAATGCTTTGGGTGGGAAGGGACCTTTAGAGGTCATCTAGCCCAACCCCTGCAGCGAGCAGGGACAGCTTTAACCAGCCCAGGGTGCTCACAGCCCCGTCCAACCTGGCCTGGGATGTTCCCAGGGATGGGGCCTCCACCACCTCTCTGGGCAACCCCTTCCAGTGCCTCACCACCCTCAGTGTAAAAAACTTCTTTCTAATGTCTAGTCTAAATCTATTCTTCTTCAGTTTAAATCCATTATTCCTTGTCCTGTCACAACAGGCCTTATTAAAAAGATTCTCCCCATCTTTCCTGTAGGCGCCCTTTAAGTATTGGAAGGTCACAATAATGTCTCCTCGCAGCCTTCTCTTCTCCAGGCTGAACAACCCCAACTCTCTCAGCCTGGCCTCATAGAAGAGGTGCTCCAGCCCTCGGATCATTTTGGTGGCCTCCTCTGGACCCGCTCCAGCAGGTCCATGTCCTTCTGGTGCTGAGGGCCCCAGAGCTGGACACAGTACTCCAGGTGGGGTCTCACCAGAGCAGAGGGGCAGAATCACCTCCCTCGACCCACTGGCCACGCTGCTGGGGATGCAGCCCAGGATGGGGTTGGCTTTCTGGGCTGCCAGCGCACATTGCCGGCTCATGTCCAGCTTCTCATCCCCCAGCACCCCCAAGTCCTTCTCCGCAGGGCTGCTCTCAATCTCTTCATCCCCCAACCTGTACTGATACCGGGGGTTGCCCCGTCCCAGGTGCAGGACCCTGCACTTGGCCTTGTTGAACCTCATGAGGTTCACACAGGCCCACCTCTCCAGCTTGTCCAGGTCCCTCTGGATGACATCTCATCCTCCTGGCGTGTCAACGGCACCACTCAGCTTGGCGTCATCTGCAAACTTGCTGAGGGTGTGCTCGATCCCACTGTGTAGAATATTTGCTAAATTGTGGACTTGAAGGCAGCAATAGTAAAAACACACCAATATTTTATGGCAAGTACTTTTTGAGTTAGTGAATGGTTTAATCTAAGATAATCCTTTCCTCCACCCTTATGGAAGAGGCAAGAAAGAACTCAGTAATGTGCAGAGGGTAAGACAGAAGTCACCTTTTATCTTCCTGGTCATGAGCAACTCCAGAAGCCTCACGGTGACTTGAAAGTAAGCAGCGAGGGCTGGTGAAAGCGCAAAGACAGTGCAAATGTTTAGGTAATTATTAGCTGCTTCTTATGCACAGGAAGAGAACAAGCACAACGAGCATGGAGGAAAACACAGAAAGGCTACTTTAGCTATATCCTAGCACTCTCAGCGTAAAAAGGCATTTCAAACCATTTTCTGCTGCTATGCATCAGTTACTTTTCCCTTTTCTAAAGGAAAGGAGAGTAGATCACATAACCAATGCTGTCAGATTGCTCTCTCCTCCGTTAAAAAAAGGTACACTGAGCATGTATTTTTAAGTGAAAGATGAGTTTTGAGAGTCACGCTAATCACAGCTACTGGCTACAAAAGGCATACAGGAGTGGTACTCCAAGAATAGCACAAAGCATTATCACCGCAGTGAGAGACCTACAGTGCGAGGACGGGAACAGAAATAGCTTGGAGCATCATCACATGAATACTCTTTGATCAGGTCAGCTGCAATACAGCAACGGCTGGATTAGCAGGGGGGAAAAAAAAATAATAAAAAAGAGCAGCCATATAGTCCACTAACAGAATCATAGAATTGTTTAGGTTGAAAAAGACCTTGAAGATCATCCAGTCCAATCACTAACATAACACTACCAAGTCCACCACTAAACCAATTCAGGGGAGAGCAATAATTCATTTCATGTTTCCTGCCTTGCTGGCTGTATTAGTTTTAATGAAAGTAAAACTGGAATAGAATCACTAAGGTTGGACAGGCCCTCTCAGATCATCAGTCCAACATCACCCCAACACCCCCATGCCCACTAAACCATGTCCCAGAGTGCCACCTCTGTCCGTTTTTTGAACCCCTCCAGGGATGGGGACTCCCCCACCTCTCTGGGCAGCCTGTTCCAATGCCTGACCACCCTTTCCGTAAAGAAATTTTTCCTAATTTCCAACCTAAACCTCCCCTGGCGCAGCTTGAGCCCATTTCCTCTCATCCTCTCGCTGTTCCTTGGGAGAAGAGCCCGATCCCCCTCCCTGCCCACTCCTGCCCGGAGCTGCAGAGCGATCAGGTCTCCCCTCAGCCTCCTCTTCTCCAGGCTGAACACCCCCAGCTCCCCCAGCCGCTCCCCACCAGCCCTGTGCTCCAGACCCTGCCCCAGCTCCGCTGCCCTTCCCTGGACACGCTCCAGCACCCCAATGTCCTCCTTGTACTGAGGGGCCCAAAACTGGGCACAGCATTCCAGGTGCGGCCTCCCCAGCGCCGAGCACAGGGGACGATCCCTGCCCTGCTCCTGCTGGCCACACTGTCCCTGACACGAGCCAGGATGGCGGTCACCACAGACCAGCCTGGCTCTGCATTCACCTAAGAGCTCAGGAAACAACGTGCCCTCCCAAAGAGAAGGACTGCTCAGCACTCTGTTTGTGCCCTCCCGTTAGCATACTGCAGGTGAACGACAAGCTTCGCGATAAGCACCACTCACTTAAAAAAACACCCAGGCATTTAACATCTGGAAATGAGAGGGTAAACCCTTCCCCTCGGGTGCCGCGGTGGAATGGGTGCTTCTCTGTGACAAGTTTCAGATGCCCAGCTTTGCCACAGAAGGCGGGTGCCATGTGTAAATATAACATTATAATAAATTATAACTCTTGTCCCAGCCTGCAGATCTCCAAAAACACAGCCTGCAGATCTCCAAAAAACACAGCCTGGAGTACAGAGCAGAGGGGCACTCGCGGCAGTGCCCGCAGCACGCCGTGGGACACCGGAGCCCACGGGCAACACCGACAACGGGACTTCTCCTGCCAGCACTGCAACCCCCAGCAGCATCCCTCCCACCTGCGTCCAGGGGGAAGGTTGTTCACATCCCTGTCCTTCTAAAGACACCGCTCCACAACCTTCGTATTTCCCCCCCCCAAAGCAGCACCACTGACACTGTCACCAGAAACGCATCCGGGGAAGCAATGCTGGTCAGCGTGGATCCCAACCCATAGATGAGGAAAAACTACGAGGAGCCTTCTTCCAGGGACCGAGTGGTTAGAACAACAAACTACGGGAGAAGTAAAGCACACCTAATACAGCTAATAGATTATAACGGGCACCACGGTTTCCTTGCCAGGACACTTCTAATCGTGCCCACATTTTTAACCCCTGCTAGCAGGAGACAAACAACTGTGCATAATTACTTGCAAGCACAAGTTAACAGCTCTAAGCAGGGATTTTCTCCTGTTCATCAGTTTGGTATACAATCCATACCAAGCATTGATTTTTCCAAATGCTAAGAAGAGTCAGAGCAGCAATTGATGTATTTTACATGCTAAAGCCAAAGCAAGCTAAAGGCCGCATTTTTGAAACAAGGTATTTAGTGTCACTCACATTACAAGAGCAGTCACCCCCTACCATGAAAGAAAGAGAACATGAAGGCGACATACAAAATGAAAACAGATGAAAACTATCTTTTGTGCTCACGTGTAGTGAAAGGGGTAATCTTCCTGGCAAAACTCACGAAACCGTGTTTTATTCCTAGCTTTGTAATAAGTTTTCTATTTGGAGTCAGACTAAGCCACTTACTCGCAGCAAAATCCTGCTCCTGTTGAGGTCAGTGACGTATCTATAACTGCATTAAACACGGCTGAATTTCACCCTTCATTCTTCAGGCTGCCAGCTACAAAAAGAAAAGTATTACTCTGAGGAGCTGCGATGCCTCAGAGGTAAATCTTCTGAATGTGAAGAAATGCTAGATGTATATTTTGTCTGCACAGTTACTTGAAGAAAAATTGTTTTGTCAGAATTTGTTATCTACCTGAAAACACAGCCAGAAACGCCAGCTTTAAAAATAGCCTTCTAGCAAAAATAAAGGCTGACTTCAGACCAGAGGTATATCTTCGATATCTCCACTAAATAAAGGAAGATGTTAGCACAGAATTATAATGTTTTTATCTGCATAAACTCTTTTCCCCTCACTCTGAAATTCTCTTGTGATATTCCAAGCCAGTAAGGAGTCCCCAATAAGCCTCAAATACTAAAGGACACCACTGTCTGCAAAAAACAAGCCCAGCAGATACACGTGACGTGTCTCTTGGGGCTGTCTCTGATAAGCTAGGAAGGACTGCAACAAATCCAGAGGGAGGAACCACAGTGAGAGGACAGGAAGGGGTTGAGTTGATTTTTAGGAGGTTTAATTATTT